TTTTTTTTTTTTTTTTTTTTTTTTTTTTTTTTTTTTTTTTTTTGCAGCCAAGATGCAAACTGCAGGCGCTCAGTCTTCGTGCAAGCGGAGGTGCAGCCGGGGCTGCAGCGGGGAGGCCCGTGCAATTGCACACCTTGCGGGACAGCTTGCAAAGTGGGCTCAGTCTCTTTCTTTCTTTTTTTTTTTTTTTCCTTTCCTTCCCCAATGGCACAGGCTGTGCTGCACCTACATGATGGGCCAGGGCTGGCAGCTCGCAGCTCCAAACTTGGCTCGGAGTAGCCCAGTGCGCAGACGTGCTTCCTCCCGCCGCGCGGTGCCCGCTGGGTAGTGTAGTTTGGTGCGGTGCGGGGCACGGCGGCGGCTGCCTGCGCCCCAGCCTGCTTGCCCCCAGGCCCCTGGTCCCCTTCATGTCCTCTTCTTCCCTTTTTCCCCCTGCCTTCTTGCCTTCTGATCCCCTTCTTGCCCCATGTCCTTTTGTCCCCTGTCCTTTTATCCCCTTCCTGCCCCCCCGTCCTTTTGTCCTCTTCTTTTACCCTTCTTGTCCCGTCCTCTTATCCCCTTCTTGTCCTCTTCTTGCCCCATGGCCTTTTGTCCCCTTCGTGCCCTTGTCCCCTGTCTTCTTCGTGCCCCCTGTCCTCTTGTTCCCTTTTTGCCCCTTGTCGTCCTCTTGCCCCCCCATCCTCTTGTCTCGCCCCAAGGTTTGCAGGGCTCTGGTGCCCCCCATGCACACTCCTCCTCCGTTTGCACAAAGCTGGGATGGAGGTGCTGAGGGCTGGCACAGTGCGGGCAGGAGAAAGCACCCGGCCCTGCACGGTTGGGTGTGCGAGGTTCAAGCTTCCTTGCTCTGGAGACGTGCAGGGAAGAGCAGGCTGGGGATCTGCTGATCAATCTGCCCCCTATAAAAAAAAAAAAATGACCACAAGTAAAGGGGAAGGCGGGCGATGAAGAGAAATGAAAAGAAAGCTGGCCTTTTCATGCAGAAGGGGCAGCTGCAGCAGCCAGACCCTTTCCTTTCCTGTTCAGGAGCACACCCACCTGTTATGTCATGATTAGGGCATACAAAAAATAAGTATGCCTGGTTTTTTTATTCCCTGACTTCTTCCCTGTCCCATTTCCATGCACAGCATGTGCTGCTCTGCTTGGAGAACCTTATCTTGCAAAGGGGCTGCCTCACTGAAGTCCTGTTCCTTTCTTTCCTTTAATTATTTTTGTGCAAGTGTTTGAAGTCTCATTGGCAGCTTATTTACTGGTTACAATCTGTAGAGAGACTGAGTCTGGCTTCCTGTTTATCCTTTTACGGCGTCGTTTGTCAAATAGTAAAGATGTTCTCTGCTTATTTTCCTAATCAAAATGATTGTGCATATTTGCACTTTCCAACAAAGTCACAGTAGCTCTGTAAGACTGTTCTTTGTGGAGATTGGTATGAAATGCCGGGGAGGCATTTGGTAACGAGTACTTGTTGTTTATTATTATTATTATTATTATTATATGACATAAAATTTCTGGCTGGACAAAATAAGGCAGAATCGGGCACATGTTTTCTGCCTGCATCTCATCTTATTTTGAGCAATGGAGCAGAGACCAGAGCCTGCATTCACCTCCCTGGTTAGTTTGACATCCACTGGACCGCTGGTGTCTAATGTGAAGCATATAGGTTGCCTGATCTGGGGATGGAGGATGAAACAAATGTGGTATCAACAGTAGCATTTCCTTTCCAGCAGTCCCCACAAGTTAAAGTGGATTTCATAGCAGCTAACTTGTTAACTCTAGTGGATAACTCGATCAACTCCTTTCAGGCTAGCCTGGCTGGGGGCTGCTGCTGCTAAACGGTGAGCTGCAAGTTTTAAAGCAGCGCTTAATTCAGAGATGAGGATAACACCTGAGTTTATAGCTTCATCTCGTGTTCTCCTCAAGACAAGCCCTTAGTTAAAACATTACGAGAGGCAAAGGACCCCCAATGAACAGGCAGGAAACGTCCATTTTTGCTTATTGTCACTTACTGGATTATTTTGCTTTTGTTCTTGTTTGGGGAGCATCTCTGGCTGGGTTCAATGTTTTGAAAGGCTGCTTCTTCTGTTGAATAGGATCACACACGCTCGGGCGGCTGCTGTGGAGCTGTTCCAGTTGATCAGGTGAGCCTACAGCGCTCTGAACCTTGCGCGGGATGCAGGTATGTCTCAGCCCTTCCCATTTGATTAACATGCATAAAGCTGTCCTTTTAGTGAGTTGAGTATACTGTTATGTACAGCAGAAACCTCCTTTTGTCCTCCAAAGTACCCGTCTGTCATGGTCCACCTGGGATGAGCAGTTGAAGCATCAACTGAGATTCACAATCTAGATTTATTCCCATAGCCACCCTCCCCTCTCTCATATCTATATCTTGATATCAAAAAAATATTCTTCCAGTTTAGCTGAGGGGAGAATCATAGCCTTATCCAGCATAGTCTTGTTGCCAGTTCCTCATGGAAGCACAATTTATGTGGCCAAAAGGAGTCTTTTTCTAGCAGAGTTCATGTTCTGGGAATTGACTCTTCTAGAGAGAAAATATTGCAATGGAAAAATGCCTGTGGTTGCCCTATGTGGCATTTTTGCTAGGGTGCTGTGGTGGTATAACTATACAGGCAAAGTTGCTCTGGTATGGACTACCGTCCCCCCACAATGCCTCAAATGACCTTTTCTTAGCAGATATTTGATGTTCTTCAGGTTAGAAACTTGATCGTTCAGGTCGCGCCTTGCCTTGTCCACCCCAATGATCCATTGCATAAATTTCTTTACAGAGTCCCACAGATGGATGTACATCTTCCCTGGTGTAACGTGGTGGGATGGATTTGGTCCATAATTAACAGGTCTCTGCATGTGAGCCATGTGTTATCTAGGAGACAGTATGGGTACACAGCCAAATAGATGAGATGGGCTCAGGTCTGTTCTCATTTTCCTTTAAGTTTGCAAGTTTGTTTGAAGCAGGAACAAGTCTTTTGCTCTGCTTTGACTGGCTTCTTTGCTTACTGGGGTCTTGGTCAATTGACTAGAGTGCCTAGGCTTTCTGATATAGAAATCATTAATGCTTAATCTGAAGTCTTATTTTTTTTTTGTTCAAGGAAGATCAAGGTTTATCCAGAGTTTGAAATGGAAGAAGCAACTTAAGATGCACCAGACGAGTAATAGAAAATCCTGTCCCAAGTAGACTATGGAGGATTTGCACCCAGGCCAGTGAAGGGGAGTAGCTAAAATGCTATATAGTCGAGCTGACCAGTGACAGGTGCATGGTAATACAAGGAAGGATGGGGGTGGTATTTTGGGGTAAGGAAAACCAAAGCTGTGCACATTACAGTTAAAGTAGCCTTTATGTAAAGCATTAAAAAAAAAAAATTAAAAAGCCCCATATTCAAATGTTTGCAGGTAATGGATTTGTAAATTATTTTGTAAATTATTCTGCTTTTGTCTGTTGTAGAAGAATTTAAATAAATAGTTCACATCATGAAGATTTGGGGGCCAAGTGCATATTCTCAACTTGCAGTGAAAACTGTGGTGGAAATTCTGTGTACTCCAGCAAAATAGTGATACCTTGAGGTCTGAGGTACTTCTGTGGAAGTAGTTCATAAAGAACATATATCTGTAATTATGAGCAGTGCTACTGGTCATCACTCGAATCTGGTTTTCTCCAATGCATTGGAAAATATGTATTATAGCAAACTTCTGTACCACAACCTCAGACTTTTGCAAATGTGCCTCCAGTGATTTAGACCATATTATACAGTAGGCACTTGGCAAATGTTTTTTATGCCATTTTTAGTTATAAAGGCGAAAATAAAAAGGATACAGTAACCCTCAATGAGGTGTATACTTTTATAACTTCATAATGTTCAGAGTGTTTGGGGGGGAAAAATGGCTGAAAATACACCCTTGCCTGAGAACTTATATTGCCAGATTTCAGTGTAGAGCATGTCTTTATTAACCAAGCAATACCTCCTTGAAATGAGGGGTTTATTATGGAAAGGCTGACAGACCCTTAATTAACACATCCTGAATGGCAGTTACAATAGCCCATAAGCTAAATAGTGGCATGCACAGTCCTTAAGCCTTGCTTGGTAGAGTTGGGCAGACTTAGCTAATTCGAAGGTCTATTATGTGTTAGTATTTTTCTTCTCATCTGTTCCAGTCTGCTTTTAAAGTTGTGTTAAATGTAAGTGATCACATTTTGGGGCTGGGGCTGTATTTTCTGGTTTGCCCATTTTAGCTTTTGGAGTCTCTTTTGGAGTCTCATTTGTCTATCATGCCAGATTGAGAAGGCTAAGGTGGGCATGTCCACGTGGCATTGGACAGAGCTAGAGCTCAGCACTGTGAAAATACCTTCCTGCCCATTCCCCCCTGCTCCATACATGTCAGTAAAGTTTCTGGCTTATGCCCAGGGCCTCAGACTTGGGGGTCTAAGGTTGAGCCAAGTTCCACTCTAATGGCAGCAATATGATCTCTTTTTGGAACGCAGCATGCAATGCAGTGCCGGCAAATGGGCATTTTTCGGAGTCTGACCTAGTGCAGATGGACCCTTATTGTTCTAATATATCTTTTCTATGTAAAGTGGAGTTGTCTCTTCATTACAGTATTATGAATGCATTCTGCTTGTACACAAGAGATGATACATTGCATATGTTGATGGAAAGATGCCAACAGACTATAGAAACAATCTTATTCTGTTGAAACATGTATGTTTCATGCCTTGATAGTTTTTCAGGGTGGTCCAATTAAGGTAAATGCTCCTGGCATCTTTTCCATTAATACTTGTCTTCACCACCATCCATCATCCTGTTTCTTCAGCTGGTTGTCTAAGAGCTTCTGCCCATCTGGACCCTGAAGCATGAAGATAGCAAGCAACTCCCAGTGTCTCCAAGGGAAATGTCTTTCTATCCAGTCCTCTACTGAAACTGCAGGTAAGCATGCATCATTGTTGCCTACGCTGGTTGTGGGAAATGTAGAGCTCTTTCCATCCAGTCCTATACCGAAAATGCAGATAAGCATATGTCACTGGCACAACCAATGTAGGGAACATGGAAGTATTTTTGTTTAAATGTAGCATATAGTTAAGTCTTGTGATCAAGATTATTGTTTGTAAAGCACGTGAAAAAAAATGTCCCTACCATTAATGCTGGAGGTGGACAATGGAAACTGAAAATTAAAATGGGTTGTAGGGGAGCATGGAAGGAAAGAAGGCCCAAGAAAATGAAAGAAACGTTGAGTTTGTGGTTAACATATAGGACTGAATCAGGAGATCTGCTTTCAACTTCTGGTTTTGCTATAGATTTTGTGGGTAAATACTGCAGAGAAACACCATGAATGTTTCTATTCTAACCCCGTGTGTTTTGACAATTTTGTTTTTTGCCTTCAGATTGCTTTCCACAGTTACTCTAATAAACGTGCTTGCTGGAAGGAGTGTTTTGCTGAAATTGCAAAATTTTTCAGCAATATTGCCTTAAAACAGACCATCAAATTTATACACTGGAGTGTGTATTTTGGCAACTTGATTTGTTTTGGTTCTTTAGATCAACCTGATCACGCAATTGCAGACCACATGACCTGTTTGTCCAGTCAAAGACACAGCAGGAATCTTCAGTCTTGAAGATTTGCTAACAATTGCTTGTGAAATAATATGCAGGCCAAGAATGATTGATTGTTTCCAGAAATCTGAGTTCTGTATAAAAATGGAAACAAGCGCCGTTTTGTTGAATTGTTCCCTTTTTTCATGTGTTTTTTTGCATAAGCCACTTCACCTGTGTTACTTTCAGTATCTAAATGGGGAGGATAGTATTTCCCTAGTTTACACCTTGAAGTGATGTTCAGACCCTTTTTTTAACTAATCATTATAAAATGTTTTGAAGTTCTTGGATATTTTTAGCATTTTATGCCCAAAGTTGTAAGTGTGGCTTTTTTATTATGATGCAGAGAAGGGAAGCAGGCTTGGCATCTGGAACACAGGTGTGAGTGAGAGATGCCTGATCAGGTATTAAGGGAATGTCTTGTAGTGTAAAGAGCAGCCTTAACTGCTAGCACTGTAAAAAGACTATTTAAAGCCAGTGTGGATTTTGGATGATAGCTACATGCAGGGAGAACAAGGGTCACGATGCCTAGGAAGTGGAAACTTCCAAAAACAATAGCCATTGGAAATGAAGAAGTCAAGCTGAGTGAAGGTACTCTGTTTGCTGACTTCCATGGAGCAGGGAGATGGGACAGGGGCCAACAGTACCTTTAAAGAAGTGGCCAAGGGTTATTTCTGTTTTTTTTTTAATTTCCATTTTGCATTTTTACTGACACATAGCACTTCCTGCCATCATCACCCTTTTTCCTAGCAATGAAAACTATGTAAGAAGGGGAGAGGTACAAACATAACACATTCTGGCATATAATACCACTGTTGGAGTTTCAAGTTGGACCTTAAAGGCTGCAAACAAAAGACGGGTGTTTTTTTTTTTCTTTACAAATGATTCTTTTACAAAAACAGCAGTTATCAAAGTGTGAATGATTCCTCAGTAAGGGGCATGCATACCAAGGCCATTTAACTGCTCCCTACAGTCTCTGTTTTTTATTTCATTCCTTTTAAAGTCTCTTACTGCTGTGAAGGAATCATTTCAACATTACCCGATCCAGTGACCTCTGCCAAAGTCTGCAGAGAGCCTGAAACAATAGCTTTGAGGTGTGCACTGCTCCTTCGCTTTGTGCTATTAATGATGCTAAACTGTCAGCATCGTTAGCAGTTTCCACGCTGATTGAAAGGAAATGGTAAAAGCGTCATTCTGATAAGCTATGCCATGGTGGCCAACATTTTTTGGCAAGCGTGTCCTAAATAAAGTCCGAAGTAGGAGATGGGAGTGGCACTGTTGCCAGTATGCTTGCTGTACAGTAGAGGTGACAGTTCTTGAACAAACTTGAACTTCAGGAGCTTATGGGAGGAAAAAGCCACCTGCTATTTTACTAAGTGGTGCAGAAAGGGCGTGGCAACCCTGGGTTTGGCATCATCTACTCCCACCGTTTCTGTAAAGCTAAACCATCAAGCCAGGACCCCAACCCTATCCCCTCCTTGAGTCTTGCCCCAAATCCTGTCATTGGTACCTTTTTAACTTAGTGCCTTAGGCTCCTGTGCCAGATGCACCAATTGGCCATGCCACTCGTGGTCTACGTGCTAAGGATTGGCCACCACTGAGCTATGCTGTCTACCTAATAACTGCTTCCTAGGAACAGGTTTTTCTATTTCTTCTTTTTTAAAAACATTTTTGACCTGAGGAGGTAGCTAAATTCAGCTTTGTTTTCCTTAAGGTGGGCACTCTACTTACTACTTTCACAGGCCACTTTCAGACTAGAAATATCAGTATAAGCATAGCGACATGTTAGACCTGCAAAGAACTCCTCATGGGGTTCAGCAGAGTTGCTCTTCTCCCAATAGAGTGGATTTGAGCCCCCACACTGAGCAAAATGAGTTCTCCTGGTAAAAATACAGGTCGGCTGGGTGTACATAAAAGATTTCTGTTGCTATGGCTGTGATGGCCTGGGTTGTTCTGAGTCCCAGCCCTCTCATCGCCCGTCTAGTGAAAGAGCAGTATGAGATGAGCAGCCACTTCTCTCTCACTCCCCTCCTCTTAAGACTATTGAATAGATAAGATACTTGAAGCATGGATTTTTGTGGATGAAATTCTTTTATTGAACCGACTGCATAGCTGGGATATATTCAGACAAGATTTTGAATACAGGGCATTCTTCTGCAGGTCACTGGCAATGCTGATCTAAGGTGCTCTCGATGTGTTTTATAGATGTACCTCGCTTTTATCTCCTTACCTTCTTTTTGTCTGCCTCTGTTGTTCAACTAGAGCATTTGCTAAATAAATAATGCCCCTGACCCAGCTCTGCTGGTGGAAGTGTGTAGTAAACACGCACAAAAATAGCAGTGCTTGTGCGGTGGGGGGTGAAGGTTGGACAAAGAGGTGTTTGCTGCGGTAGAAGATGAAGAAACTGTTGAATATTTGTTAAGAACAAATGGACCATCTGGAGGAAAGGATGCCACAAGGGTGTCTGCTCTGCCTTTCCATTTAGCTCTGTCCTCAGCAATAAGTTTGTGAGCAAGCGACAGAGCAGGATGCTTGCCTTACAATAGAGGAGGTGACAGACAATGAACAATCCTGAGCATTGGTGGCTTATAGGAGGGAAAAAAAAACCATCTGCTCTTTTGCTGTTCTGAGCAGGGCAGAAAGGATATTGCACGTTCCTTTGTTCTCCACTGAAGGTAACGGCGGACTACAGGCCTTCTTGTACTTTACAAGCTAAAAAAAGTGAAGTTCATAAGAGCTTAGCAGCCAGATCTTAAAATTCAGTTTAGTTTCTGCTGTCTGTCTGTCTTGCTCCTATGCATTTCCTCTAGCAGCCATTAGAAGTTAATACACATTTCCACATAGTGTCTTCTGGTAGTTTGATCGTATGAGAAAATGTTTAGATAGCGTCAGTTTTCTTTGCTTTTTTCCCCCTGCCCTAACAAACTACACTAACCCTGTGAACCTGGGACTGGAGAGCTGTTAAAAAATCTCTTTGTGGCTTTTAAGCAGATGGCCAAGGAATTCGTACAGAAGATAAAATGACCTATAAAATCTCAAAGTAGATGCTGCTCATAAAAGTGACAGAAGCCCAGTAAAGGAAGCCCATTCACAACTTGAGTAACCTAGGTAATGGTACAATTTAGGGCTGGAAAAAATGGGCCGATAAGAATAAAGAGCTGAGTGCTTTGGTAAGGAGAGGGGTTAAAGGAGACAATCATCTCAGCTCAAACAAGTGGGCTAAGGGCTGTGCCGCAAGCATGAATACATCCATTTTATCTTGATTTGCCAAGAGACACAGAGCACAAGGTCACCTCGGGATGTAAGAGGCCTGAAGGATTTATTGGAAGTTTGGAAAATGCTGCCCAGGCAAATAAGCCAAAGGAGTTCATGAAATTAGAAATCTTGAATTTATTCTTAAGTGGTGTGTTTTAGAGGGTAAGTTATCCTTTTTGTAAGTGATGGAAAGAGCCAGTGTGACAGATACTTTGGTCTTTTTAACTGAAAATCTAGTCTGCTTAAAATGCAACAACAACAAAAAATGTGTAGGTATGGGAGGTGCACCCAAGTCACCGTTCCTACGAATGCAAAGCTTTCGTCCCAATCTTTCCTCTTCCTTGCGTGCTGTGCAGGCGTCACACTCGCGGCATGGCACAGTGCTGTCATGTGGGAGATTCCAAAGTTCAAAGCTAGCACGTGCTCACTTTTTTTTTCCTTCTCCGACTGTTTACATGGATTTCTCTGTGTTTATGGTGCAGCTGTTATAATACCTCTCTGTCTCTCTTATTTTCAGTTTTCATATCTCTTGGTATTGCTTCTATAGAACTAAGAGTTCTCTGCTTTTATTTGATTAAATAGTTTGGGATTTAAGTCTTTCATTCTGGCTCAACTTGGCCCTTAGTCTTTTTACAGCTTTGAGTAGCACACAGTTGGCTGGACTTGCACTCTCCATCCTTGGCTCTTGCAGCCACAGCCTTTTCAGGGGCTTGATCTGGGTTTTCGTGACCTGCAAAGAACTGTTGGCCTCTTCCAGGTGCTCTTGGTGTAATGGATAATTTTGGAGCTCTTAGAAAGGTATAGGCTTGAGGATATTTGGCAAGGGTTAACTGCAGCCCTAATAATATATTGCTTTCCATTTAGCAAGCAGGGTGTTTCACTGATTATTTTCAGTCTGGCACAGCTGACATGAGTTGTATCAAAACTGGACTAAGCAAATGTTCTTAAACCAGCAGGTACTTTTTGTAGTGTATAGGGCCTTAAATTCAGCACTGAAACTAGGGTCGTCTCAGCAGGCCTTGTTAGCCTAAATGCCTTTGTGAATTAAGATCTGCAGTACTTTCTGACATCACTTGAGTTATCTGATGCTGTGGGGTTAACATCATCCTTGGGAAGGAAATAAAGACTGATTTGGGCTGAAAGCTGAGACTTGAAATTAATGCTGTCTTTAATTTAAACTCCTCCAAATATAAGGAAGCTCAGTGACACAAATAATAATTACTCTCTGGGTACAAATATTGCCACCTTCCCCCTGGCATTATGAAACCCGAGCTGATTGTTGGGATTCTTGCAAAACAGACCCAGGTGAGAGTTTATAAATCATTCCCTTCAGGGTCCTTTTAAGATAAGAGCGCATTTTGTTTTCATTGAGACAACATCAGTTGAGCAGCATATCATTTAAGTGTGTTTGTCTCCTGCTACAGAGATGAAGGCAAATCAGAGAGATGTTTCTCTTTAATGCAGGAAAGACAGCAATCCTGTGACATCGTTCTGTAGCAATAATTTGCTTGCTGTTAATGACGAGATGGATTTGCAGCCTCTTTACTGATGGATGTTGGTACCATAGTGTCACCAGCCTCTGCTGTCGTTCCTGAGAAGCGGGTTTCTGATTGGCTTATGCTTATTTCCAGCGGTCGAGCTGGTTCAGCAGTGTGATTGATTTGTTGTTGGTCACGGGGGGGTTGGGGTTTTTTTCCCCCAACTGTATCATTGCCCTTACACTGTTTTTACCCCCCACCTCCCGATTCTGCCTCTCTGGCCTCTCCTTCACCAATGGGAGCCTCTCTTTCCAGATTGCCCCTGTGCACAAAATAAACTCCTAGGACTAATTTTTGGAAAGCATTCTCACTCTAACCCCTTTC